AGTTCTCAGCTCTATCAAAAAAAGTAGTGTTGATGGAATTTTACTCAGCCATTAGACAGAATAACACATCATTTGCAGTGAAAAGGATGGACTTAGAACAAATCATGCCAAGTAAGGTAAGCCAAACTCAGAGAGACAAGCAATGCAAGATCTACAATATAACTGGACATGATAACCTAAAAGTCCTCTAAGTTTTCACATGCAAACAGACTACAGGAGGATACTCTTAGGGGAGGAAAACAAAGGTGTAACTTCTCAGAATACCTGTGTCTACAGAAGCTTATTCCTTGTTTTCCTGTTTCCTGCGACCAACCTCAGATATCCTCAATTTTACATGCAATATGTTGAGCATTTTCTTCTATCATCTCTGTCTGTCTCTCTTGCTCTCATCTATCATCATCTCTGTCGCTACTTGTTTTGAAGGGGGAGGAGGTGTGGAGTGCTGAACTGGGACTTAAACTTGGGACCTGGGTGCTATCCTTTAGCATTTTTGCTCAAGACTAGCCCTCTACCATTTGAGCCACAGCTCCACTTCCAGCTTTTTGCTGGCTAATTAGAGCTAAGAGTCTCATAGACTTTCCTGCCCAGACCAACTTCAAACCACAATCTGTAGATCTCCTGAGTTGTGAGGATTACAGGCACGAACCATTGATGCTCAAGCCAACTAATGTTTTTAATACCCATAATCACCATAGGTGGTGGTACAATGACATTTTTCACAACTTTTATGTGAAAGTGCTAATGTCTTTTAAAAATAAACTATAAATGTAAAAACTATTGCTTTTGGTTTTGTGCCAGGATTTCTCTTTCTATATATTTATATTAAGTGGTATAGCAGCCAGCACATTCATAAAAGAATTTACCTGATTATCTGCAAGAGGACAAACAGCCCAGTACAACATCATTAGCAAGCATATCATGGATAGTAACACCTCTTCAATGATGCTTTTAGAAAGGTCCAGGAGGCACTAACTTGAGATTTATCACAATACTGCTGGCACACACACTGAGCCACACCACACACACTCGACCATGCTCAGTATCAAAGTCCTTTCTCAGACTCTAAGCATTGCTTATGGCTTGTTTGTATGCTTGTTTCTGTTCCATTGTTAGTTTTTCCTGAGCAACAGCATGACAAACACTGAAATCAATTTACGAGTCACCTACAACCCCTGCCATATATCTTTCTTCCCTATTAAAACTGAACACAACCAAGTATTGAATTTTTCTCACAGCCTTTGACAAAAAGCTTTAAATCTGGGTGAAATAGTAGATATACGCTCAACATAGGAGTCAAAGAATGTGGATTCCAGTCCAAGCTTTGCCACTAACTAGCTAAATGAACAAGGACACCCACAAGACAGTATATGAGAAATGAACTTTTCAGAAAAAAATCATAAAAAAGAAATGAACTGTACAACTTCAGGGGGTGTGGGGAGGGGTGAGGGAGATGGGGGAGGGAAGGGATAGTGGGAAGGGGTAACAATGCTCAACAAGAAATGTACTCATTGCCTTACTCATGTAACTAGAACCCCTGTGTACAGCATTTTTACAATAAAATAAAATAAAAAATGTTTAAAAACGAGGAAATCACTTAAAATTTTCTGGGTTTCAATGTTTTCATCTATAAGAAAATAAATTGTAAGAGATGACTGACAAGATCCTTGCTTATTCTAGAACATTCTTTGAAATGAAGTCGCAATTCTACTGTTGTCACAGCCTGCTTAGAATCATTCTCTGCCTCCTCTCCTCAGATGAACTAGATTCATTTCCTTTGTGTCCTACTTATCTTGGTATGTATCCTACCTATACTATTTATCTGAATCAGACATAACCTCCCATTATTCTGTAAGTTCCTGGAGAGCAGACACTGGGGCTTTTACCATCTGACCCACCATTGTCAGCAGGTACCTTATGGCTGCAAACTGAATTCATAGTGAACCAGCCAATATTTTCTGTATCACACTTCAACAAAGTTGTCTCATCAGGAAGCTGTACAAAAAATAGCAAATCAAATCCCACCCTCATCCTATTTAAGCAGTCAATCTGGAGGAAAATATGTTCTCGCTATCTTCGCAGTGAAGAAAATATTCAGAAATAATTCAAAATCTCAACCGTGCTTAATGTAGCCATAAGTGCTAATGTAACATTTATTTTAAGCTTCAAGGAAATGGAAGTCTCTTGACAGTCTCATGGACAAACATGCCCACCGATTTCTAAATGGTTCATTTCCTTAAACTCATAAAACATAATCTCTGTAGACGCCTTCGTCTTTTATGTGTGTGTGGGGGAGGGGGGAAGGTTCCAACAGAATTAACAATGTATCTGCAGATTTGAGGGACTCTGGGAATACTACTTCTTATTTATATAAAGAGATAACTGCTGATCTTAAAGACATCCCCCTGTGGGGAGGAGTCACAAGGAGGGCTCATAGGGTCAGCTTCAAGCTAGGCTCATGGCGGCCTAAGAGTACAAAGCAAACTTGGCAAAGGAAAGGGCCTGTGAGGAGAGTGCTCAGTACAAGTCTCAGGCAGCATCTCCCTAATTTTTTCCAGCAATGGCTGCAACAATACACAGCAAATGTTTTCTACAGGGACTCAAGGCCTGGAGTATTTCTTTGGGACTAGTCATGTAAGCATTCTTTACCTGGTACATACCAAAATCCTACCCTTCTGGAAAGAATATAGGCATTCTACAGTAATCACATTGTTTTCATGAACAGTTTAAGCACAGTGAGCTCTTCCTATCAGAGTAATGGGATTCATCTTGAAAATCAAGTCCCAAAGGCCAACTGTGTAAAGCTTTTAAAGGACATCAGTTATACCTTCTGTGTGTTCACTGTCTTTTGTAGTGGTGTTCAACATCACTGAATAAGAACTACGTAGGATGAGGAGGAACACCAATAATTTAAAATCTTAAGAATTCTTGGAAATGGACCATGTGAGCTGGGTGTGCTGCTTACATTCTTCAACCCATACCTAATGGCCGAACTTCAATCCAATACATACCATGTTGTCATCCCAGGAAATGGGATCTTGACTTATGTACATAAATATATCAAAAGAGTGTGCAATTCTGTTGCTCTTTGATGTCTGCTCTGAGTATGTGTGTGGATGAGAGAAAGAAAGAGAAAGGAGAAAGAGTAATATAGCTCTGTGTTGAATTCAATGTGAAGAATCAAAATTCACTTTCCACTCACAATTATTTTTTTTCCAAACTTGTACTGGGGCTAGAATCTAGGGTCTCATACTATCACTTATTTTCTTTTTGCTCATGTCTGGCACTCTACCACTTGAACCACACCTCCATTTCCAGTTTTTTTGCTGATTAACTGGAGATAAGAATCTCATGAACATTCTTACCTGAACTAGTTTCAAACTACAATTCTCAGATCTCAGTCTCCTCAGCTAGGATTATGGATTACAGGCTACCCAAATCCTCCTTTGAGATCTTGTGTTGCAAATATGTCAGTTTGTTACTTAATATTAATCTCTCTGGCTCCAAGTTACTTTATATGCTTTAAGAGGTAAAAATTATCTGCCATATTTTACAGGAAAATTGTAATTATCAAATGAGAATGGTGTAAGCAATGTGTCCGAAGAACAAGATGTACTCTATAGAAAGCAAGAATTATGGGAAGAGACTTGGATAAGATGCTACAGGATGATAGTAGATTTCAAAGTTGGCAATTTTAGGTTATACATGATTTAACAGAGTAAGACCATCAAAGATCTAACAGGCTGCCTTGCAGATGTGATATTTATTATAGAAAGTAGATGATAGACTTAAGAGACTCAGAGCTCCCTAACAAATAAACAAACATACAAGAAAGCTCCACCTTTCGTTAATATTTGGGCAGCTCTCCCACACCCATTATTGCCTTAATGTTCAATTGCTGGTGCTTCACACAAGACTCATACTTGAAGCTTCTTGAGCTCAGGGACCCTCTTAACAGACTCTGTCCTCTCCTACAACTCATAACTTGTCTCAGAGGTTCTGGATATTCAATGACTTCTTGTTACCATAATAATAAAGTGAAAATATCATTCAAATATAGCTCATATATTTTAACGCAGCCTGTGTGAATAATATTCCTACTAGTCTTGTCTTCTCTTAGAACCCGGAGTAAGAATCACATTCATTCACAACATATGTCATTTCTATGTTGCTATTGTACAGACATTCATTTGTCTCTTGGATTCATTGTTTTCATCCATATTAACTACAAAGAAGATTTCCTTTAAGGGTTAGTAGAAAAGAAACATTGTTATTTCAAAAGAGACAAGCAATCATTTTAGATGAAATTCCTTAAGTGGAGTTATCCAAATGTGTATTCCACTCTTGGCAAGAACAGAACCCTAGCCAATGCTCAGTGACCTATAAATCAGAGCTAAGAGACTTCTTTATGCAAATTAAATTTGTGTCACACTCATCAATAAAAAGAAAATGGTAATGAAGATTAAATTTGCAGGCCCAGTACAGAGTAAAGGATTCCTATACCTATTGTAGGACATGTCAGGGTGGCTAATTAATTTTTGAGATAGTGTTCTTTGAAAGAATTAATGGAGGGTAAGCTTTTCAAATTGATTATTAAATGAGAAGACGGGATTAAAGAGCATTAGGAATGTAAAATAGGCAACCAGCTTGACTGACCTTTCCAGAATTAGAGAAACTCAGATGATAAAATAAAAGATGCTGCTATTCATTTTCAAGCAGTAGTATAAAGTCCAAGAACTTACTATATGACAGTCCAGGTTTCCAATTCATTGATCTGTATTTCATTTTGCATCATCTTAAATGACAAAAACTCAGATATTTACTTGTATCACCATGGTGCCCTTTTCCCTTACAAAGGAAACAAAATACAAAGACAAAGAATACTGCACTGCTCTGCATTAATGGGGACAATATTGTTGCAAAAATGAGCTAGCATCAATTGCCCAGCTGATGGAGCATAACTTATTAAGACCAATATGGAAAAGTAGAAGCAAACAACATACCCGCTTCCTTAGGTTGCAAGTGAGAGTAAGATTCCTTGAGAAGGAGTTTGCAAAAGCTGTGTAAAAGTCAAGGACTTTGAGCAAGGCCTCTCGCTTGATGATATGCAGGTCACAGTACGTCAGCGCCCGGACATTGGCACAGGCATGAGCAAGTGTAGTTTCCTTCCAGAAGATGTCTCCAAACACATCACCTTTCCCTGAAAAACAGCATAAGGTATATGTTTAAGTATCTACAAGAGTTCCTATCATAACTGAATGATTCCGTTTCACTAATTCTATTGATCTTCTAGAATATTCACAATATATACCATAATTATATATAATATCAATGTACAATGTGTTCACTGAGTAAAGTAACACCACCTTGAATTAACTTCTTGATGAAAACATAGAATGGAATGAATAAAATGAAATTCATTGGAAAAGTCAAAACCTTCACGTTTAACAAATAATTTCACTATCTTCTCCCACTTTGACTTTTCCTATTCTGCCTAGAGGAAGCAAAGGTAAATTTTGAGTTCTATCCATGGTCTTGTTCCACTGGACAAGATGGCAACAAGATGCAATAAACGATGATTGTGTTATAGCCTTTCTAAACATAGAATTGATACCATATTATTCAATGATAAGGTTGGTGCTTTAAGAAGACTAAAACATGGCACTGATGGCTCACTCCTATAATCCTACTGAAGAGGCTGAGATCTGAGGATCAATAGAGCTGTGGCTCAAGTGGTAGAATGCTAGCCTTTAACAAAAGAGCTCAGGGCAGTTCTCTCATCCTGAGTTTAAGCCCCAGGACACACACACACACACACACACACACACACACACACACACACACACACACACACACACACACACACACACACACACACACACACACACAGCCTATGATATATACTGGTTCTCAATGCTGTCCTTCCCTTCTTCATCCTGCAAATCCTTATCCAGGATCTCGGGGCACAATTTTTTTTTCAAATTTTTTATTGTGATTAAGTGGTTATATAAGTTCCCAAATTTCACTGTATTGTGTACAGTAATTTCACAATAAAAATATAGTAATAAAAAAAAAGAAATGGAGAGGGATTCACAGATGTATTATCCCAGACAGTGTTCCATAAAGAGTACCACAGGGGCTACAGGCAAATTTAGAATTTAAAAAAATCTAGGAATCAGCTATACTCGAGCGCGCCAACCATTGCTGTCTTGAAATCACTCATTCATCACTCCAAATCAATGATACGTGGTTGGCCAACCAATAAAGGGCATGAAGAATAACTCTGAAAGGCCTCTCTATTGAGGCTGTCCACAAAGAGCTTCTGGCTCCCATGTAGTCAATTGCACTTGGTTCAAATTCTGGGAAAGGGAAAGTTTTAAGGTGGAAAAAATGAAAGGAATATACTAAGAGGGGAAAAAAATCTTCCTAGAGGCATTCTTTCAAAGCTGTATTGTGTGTGTGTGTGTGTGTGTGTGTGTGTGTGTGTGTGTGTTCACACCACAGAAGTGAACAAATATCTCCTGTGGTTCCAATGAAAAGTAGAACTAACAGGAGAAAAGAGAAGAACAATATACCTTTCGAGAACTGAGAATGAGACACAGAAACAGAGAAAGGTCAATGGAGTGTTATTACAGGCTACTTTTCCACATAGGCGCACAGCTATGGGAGAACACCAGGATTTGGGAGTCAACCGTAAGAGGCATTCCAGGATAAGGGATGAAAGCAAGCCTGATACTGAGATGTTAAAATCCCTCCATGATCATGTGGTCAGCATAAAATAAGCCATAATAGAACAATACTTGTTCAAAGCAATTCATTTCTGGCCATCCAAAAATTCCTTGCAGTACCCGGATTGTGAAATGGTAACCCCTCTGTACAGCACCTTAATAATAACAATAAAATGATATATTTTTTTAAAGCCACACATTTAAAAAATTCCTTGAAGTTAGTGACAATAATAAACTTCCTGAGGACCTTATATTCATGCAAAGAGAGATTTTTGTGATCAAGCATGAAGCTAGAGTCTCTGGGACAAGTAGTATGGTAACCTAGGAGATCATTTAATTATCAAAATTTAAAAGATGAACCCTATATACTTTCAGAATGATATGTTTCAGAAGTCTGTATTATTCTTCTTGAACAAGTTATTCCAATGATTCCAATTATTTATTCTAATTACACTATCAAGGGTGCTAAATTTAGTTATAAAAATGCCCCTTGAAGGCTGGGAGCTGGTGGCTCATGTTGTAATCCTAGCTAGTCAGGAGGCTGAGATCTGAGGATCACATTTCAAAGTCCGCCCAGGCAGGAAGGTCCATGAGACTCTTATCTCCAATTAACAACCAAAAACAGCTGGAAGCGGAACTGTGGTTAAAGTGATAAAGTGCTATCCTTGGGCAAAAATGCTCATGGACAGTGCTCAGGCTCTGAGTTCAAGCCCCAGGTCTTGCACAAGCATGCAAGTGTGCATGTCTATGCACACACACACGCGCGTGCGCGTGCTCACACACACACACACACAAACACACACACACACACAGAAATGTCCACTGAAATCAGGGGGTTGATAGTACATGTCAATAATCCCAGTACTCTCAAGGCAGAGGTAGGAGGATTGGGAGTTTGAGATTAGCCTGGGCTATATAGTGAATTCCCAAGAAACCTGAAACAGAGTCTATAAAGACAGCAAGACTCCATCTTTAAAAAGAAGAAAAAAACTTTTAATAGGCCAATAAAGTAGACTAACATAAAGGTCAATAAATAAATAAATCAAGAAATATTGTGTAGTCACTAAGTTGCATAGATTTTTTAAGTGACAGAGAAATGCTCATATTACATACATAATTAACACAGCTTGTCAAACCACACAAAAAATAAATCTCTCACTGTATATACCTCAGAGACCAAACACACAAACATACACAAAGCCTGGAAGCAGGTGTATTAAAAAAAACAAAAACGGTAGATTCTCTCTGCATTATAGGGCAATGGGTGAGTTTGTCTTACAATTTTGTAAACCAAAGACATTAATAACCGTTAGATCATCATAGTCCCTGGTACTATAAAAATAATGTTGCTAACAGCCTACCTTAATCTACTTTTTGTTCTTTTTCCTCTATCATTGTTGTTCTATATTTTCCTTAAAGAGGTAGAAAAAAAGATTTATATTTCCCTTTGATTCATTTCTATGATTCTTTCTCAAAATGATCAATTATAATACAATCTCTGACCCATTTGTAAGTGCTCATTACTTTTTTAACTCTATGCTTACATGTAGTGTATGCTTCAGGAATAATCCATGCCTTTCACTCAGTAATTTCACTTCTGGGAATTATTTAGGAAATTTCCCAATAGAACCAAAATATACAATTATGTTGTTATATACAGCATACGATGTTGTTGATTTGCAAGTTGAAATAAGTTGTGATAAAAGCCAACAATAATAATGATTTATATATATATATATATATATATATATATATATATAAAGAAAATAGTGTGTTCTTAAATGGCAACAGTGACTGGCTGCAAGGGGTATGCTGATGATTTTTCTTCTTCTACTCAATGATTTCCAAATTTTTCATATGACTATGTATAGACTTTATTAAAAACAGCAAACTATTTTCACAGATATCTTCCTTATACTTTTTAATAACACTGAGTTCATAAAACATGCCTTGATATGTATAATTGTTCATAAACATTTATTATAGGTCCCCATAAGAGGTTAAAGATATTCAATACATATGCCAATATAGACCATTTTTAATTGTGAAGGCATTCAAATATACATTTACAATTGATTCTACCAAGCTTATGAAATTAAAATTCCTACCATATTTCTAACCTAAAACTTTTAAATTTAAATTATTTATTATTTTTTCCAGTACTGGGAATCAACTCTAGATCCTCTCTTGTGCTAGCCAAGTGCTTTACCACTCAGCTACACCCAGCCCCTAAAATATTTATCTCTTTGGAATCCTGGGGAAGTAAATCTATGATGTGGAAAAGATAATAAGAAGCTAGACTATTAACTCGTGACAAACTGTCTTCCCTGCTTCTCCTCCAAAACCTGTTGAGAAATAAAACAAAAAATTAGCTAATGTTGGTTTTAATTACCAAATTAATTAATTCTGCTCCCTACAACAGAATTCACATTACATAATACACACACTGATACTTTCATGACAATCTCCATTAAAATATGCAATGTATGTCAGATAGAAATCTAATAAAAACATCTCAAAACTATGTTTGCTTTATCCAGCTTTCTGTCACCTAGTAGGAATTCTACCCATAATATACTTTAAATGAGACACTTACAATCATCTTACAAGTAATCATCTTACAAGTCAGTGAATGAGTCGAATAGATGGTGTAGCTAAGCTGGCTCATGTTTTTCTTCAAGGTATATAACGCATATTTATGCACATTCACACAATCTGCGGAAATGGGCGTGCAAGCGGGGAATTATACATGGAATGCCAAGGGAAAAGTACCCCAATTTCCCACCACAAACATTTGCACACCCTTTTAGCGAGAAGAATTCCTATGGTATTCATTACTATAGAATATTCAATGCTGGTTTTTAGGTCAGCTCCTGCTGGGTGCAAGTAGTCTCAGCTATAAACAGTTTAGAGATTGGGCAAACTTTAACCTCTTTCAAATCCTTAAAATAGCAGCAAAGTTTGCACTCTACATGAAAGTTGTTGTTTGGTTTATTTATATTTTCTCAGTTCTCTGCATCAGGGCTTATGAAATATTTCAGTGTGAAACCACAGGAAACAGGATTGCAAAATAGAAGTGAATGTTAAAGATTTGGGTAGTAGGAAATTGAAAAAAAATGTTAAAGACCAAACAGAGACACAGTTCTAACATAATTAGAGCAGTAATACAGTTTGTAGTAGTCTTGGGATTATGGTTCCCTATAGGGCTGATTTTACAGCTAGATTTTTTTTTTAAAAAAAAGAAAACTGCGAGACACATTATTTGGTGAGTTAATGACATGGATAAAGTAAATGCATAAAGATGATCACAGTATTCATTAGTGAAAATAGTTAACTAGCATACCCAATAGATCTTAAAATATCATTTGAGTTCTATGTAGGTGGTTTCCAGTGGATATTTATGGGAATACTATAATGTATGTGATCATTCAAATAAGTTTGTGTGTGTGTGCCATCAGTAAATAGCATAGAT